CACGTGATTATGAGTCAATCTTCCAGATTCAATTCCAATAGCAATTAGCAAATCCAAATTATCATGAAATGCCAATCCAATTGACATTGCTCTCATACTTCCCCCACAACCTCCTCCTCTAGAATCATAATTCAATGAATCCCACTTATTCTTCCTTGTTTGTTTGATATAATTGATGGAATCTCTGCATTTCTTTCCTGGAGATCTATCTCCCATATCTTTCCAACATGCAACATATTCCTGAACCATCACAACCATAATCTTATCAACCAATTCCATAAATCCTTCATCTTTGAATCCAATTGAAAGCTTTGGTGTGAGAATTTGATTCAAATCTTTGTGAGTCAGTGTTTTTAGAGTTGCCAAATGAAAGATCGTATCATCAGATACTTTCCATGACTTAGTATCGATATTTGCAATCTTTCCTCCAAATTCATCTTTTAATTCCTTATGAATTCTCTCTCCGGAGAAGTTAAACTCCCACGTTCCATTCCTATATCCAATTGCATCACCAACAGCAGTCAATACACAACTAGCTTCAATTCTCTCCGCTAAGGAAGGTAATGAATCTTTATTAATCTTCCTATCCAGCAAATTATTTACAGTAGCTCTATCGCAGATTGATTGATCACCATTTGATACATTTGATGAAGCTGTAGAAAACAATTGATCACCATTTGATGGTGAGCGAGGATCCTTGTGTACTTGTTGAGACATTTTTTTCAACTTCCCAACCAAATCTGCCAATTTACTGTAAATAAGTTAGATCGCGGGAGGTTGATATAAATTCGTCGATCCGCTGGACCAGAAGAAAATTTGCAAGTTGAGTGTCAACTTTAAAAAATATTCAAAAAAATATTATCAGCCAAACATAACAATGCAGTGAAACTACATTGAAACTACATAGTTTTACCCATCGAGAAAACTGGCTTTATTTTGCATAACGTGGAATAGTATCATCATTAGTACTAATTTTAGTAGAATTGATGAACAATATGGTGTTTGGCTAATGCTAATACACCAACAACAACAACAACAAGAAATAATAGTAATTATATTTGCGGAAGGCTCAAGAATGAATGGTTGCTGTTACCAATATTGGCTCTGTTCTTGTTGTTGGAGTTTGGTCATCAGTTCTTGATTGGATTATTGTTGGTATTCTGTTGAGTTCCCAAATTTTCACAATAAAAGACTTGTTCAATATATTTGTGTTGGTTTCCTGCATGAAATGTTACCTCATTACTCGCAGAGTATTCAAGAGAAGGAATAGAGTGTGGTGTTCTATCTTTGCTTGTGAGCAAGATTACCGACTTGTAAAAATTTTCAGATACCAAGAAATTTTGGCAAAGTCGAACTGGTATCCAATGGCTGGTATTTTGGACTTGGAAAAAAAATTTTCTGGCCCATTTTTTCAAAGACTTCCCGCGATCTAAAATAAGTAAATTGGCGCCAAAACTAATCTGAAGAATTAGTTTCCTTATAGAGAA